AGAATGTGTGCTGGCTGTATGCAAATACTGTGCCATTTTACATAAGGAACTTTGAGCACCCATGGATTTGGGTGTCCCTGGAGGTCCTGGGATCAGTCTCCAGGGGATTTGTTCTTCTTTTGTGATTCTACTTTGTATGTTTACCCATCCAGTCATCAGATAAATGGATGTACCTGGAGAAGTTTCCTATCTACTTAGACCTAATCTTCAATGCATTTCCAAGGACCATGAAGCTGTGGCTTGGCTTTGCTCTTTGGAGGACAAAAAGAAATTATCCTTTGACCAAAGTACTTCAAAATGTACTATTGAATTATTCAGAGTCAATCCAAAATTGTAAAATTACAAGTGACTTGACCTTAACCTTACTTGTCCTTGACTCATGAAAAAGTCACACCACCTGGGGGCGGGGGGTGCAGGCTCTCGTAGCAGAGAACGGAGGAGAGCTCAGGAGTCTTGTCACTGCTCAGGGTGCACCCTGCTGTACTCCTGTTAGTGTGATGTTTTGATACTTCATGGGAAGATTAACTAAATATGAACATTTCTTATTTTAGTGAGGTGTAATCCTTCATGCATCTCTTTCACCATCAAATTCAAAGTTTAATTGGAGAAGACCCTTGCTTACATGTCAATGGAGGGTAGAAGGAAGGCTTCATTCATCTATTCATCTAATAAATGGTAGTTTCAATAAAAATGCAACTTTTTGAGGTTTTCCTGTATGGTCATTTAAAATAAATGGTAGTTTCAATAAAAATGCAACTTTTTGAGGTTTTCCTGTATGGTCATTTCTATAGGAGTCAAGATCTTAGTTATTGCCTTCCTTAAAACATGTTCTGCCTCAATTGCTTGACACAGTGTAGATCTGGGTGGCTGGAGAGGGCATGGTGTGGGAAAGCCTTCACAATTCTGCCTATTAGCATCCCTGCTCTGAAAGCTGGTGGGTATTTTGGAGGGAGAGTAGCTCTTAATTCAAAGTGATTTTTATTGTCTTAAGTCCTAAGCCTTACCTATTAAAATGTCCTCTCAGATGAATTTCAACTTTGAAATAATTCCATATTTTCCATGAAAAGATCCACCCCTCTCCCTTTTTCTCCAGGAAGCTGAATTAGAGATTTGGACAATTTTTAAAGTTTGTGCATGATTGATACATCATCAAATAACCAATTTAAATGAAAATTTTCCATTGAATTTACCCGGGGTCATAAAAATTTTCAGAAAAAAAAATGATTCATTACTAAGATAAAGAATTAAACACTATTTTTGGAAACTTCCAGATGACTGACGTGTTGGTAGACCAAACATCTGGATGGTTTGTTTTGCTGATCGGCAGTGTGCATCCTGCCCAACTCTCACCCTGCATGCACTTGAACAACTAGCAGTGACTTTTCACGGGCACAGTTCTTTTTCCAACCACAGCAAAAACAGAACACATCTTGCATCTGTTCCTTGCATAAATTTCCAAAGCATTTCACTTCTTTCATCTAGTTTGATAAGGAAATGGATAAGATGTGCAAGCAAAGCATTATTTTATTTTATTGGGGGAGAATCTTGGCCAAAGAGGTTAATAAGTGATTTGCCTAAGGTTCCATAAAAAAGCTTATGACAAGCATAGAACTGCAATTCAGGTCCTAAGTTCTAATGCTTCATGCCCACCATTTTATCCTCCATTCAGATGGGATTATCCCTAGAGATGGATGACTCCACACACTAAAACATCCAGAAAGAACGTTATTTTTTCAGACTTATAACGTGTCCTAAATCCCAAGGGAACTCAGGGTGACGCTGGAAAGTGCACATGAGCTCAGAGCACGGGTGTCAAGGGATAGTGCTCAGTGATTTGCTTTCTAAAGGTAATGTTGAAATTGCC